TGGCTTGAGTGATGTGAGGATATGCTGAGTGATGATGCCACGAGGTGGCTTGATATAGTGCTTGGGCCGTAAGGGGCCCCTCCGGAGTCTGCACACCCACAGTGAGCGCGGGTACCCATGTGATTTGAAACAGTGGTAACAATGACACTGTTTGATGAAATTTGGTTAGGTAACAATGGTTGACCATTATGCTGAGTGATTGTGAGGTAGCCCGCGGGGCTGATACTATACTGAGAGTGAGCCCGAGGGGCTGATACTATGCTGAGCGATTGGTACTATGCCCGAGGGGCGGATTTCTACCTGTTAATTACCTGTTAAATTACTTGTTTTACTTGTTTTAAAAAGGAATATCATTTGATTTCTTCTTTGATTTACTGCTTTAAGTGATTTTACTATTTGATATGGAATTGCTTTGTGCCTTTACGTGTTTTCATACTTTCAGCCATTATTTGTAATTATTACTCACTAAGTCGGAGTACACACATTACTCCCTACACCATGTGTGCAGATTCAAGTATAGCAGAGTCCGCACCTGAGCGCTGATTCCTTCCAAGCTAGGCAGTGATTTGGACTTACGAGGTAGTTGTTGACGTTCGCAGCCCCTTGACTCTCTTATCCTCTATCATTTATGTTTTCTTCAAACTGTTGTATCGGATTCTGTACTTTATAGACCTATAGTAGATTCTGTAGTAGCTCATTACTTGTGACACCCCTGTTTGGGCTATGTCGGGATGGTTCCTGCTGTTATTATCGTTAAATTCTGCAATTTATGAGCATTATATTATATGTTATTACTGTTTATGATGATTAACTTCTTAAAAGAGGTGTTCCGTTTTGGTCTGGTTGGCCTTGTCTTCAGGAGAGGCGCCATCACGACCGGGTTCGGGTATCGAGTCGTGACAAGTTGGTATCAGAGCCTAGGTTACTTAGGTCTTACGAGTCATGAGCAGGTTTAGTAGAGTCTGGCGGATCGGTACGGAGACGTCTGTATTTATCCTCGAGAGGCTGCAAAACCTTTAGNGCGGATCAGTACGGAGACGTCTGTATTTATCCTCGAGAGGCTGCAGAACCTTTAGGAAAAATTTCATATTCTTGAAACTCTTATCGTGCGTCCTTGATTCAGCTTGAAAAGTAACTCTTGAAATTCCTTCCACGTGTTCGTATGCGCGTATGAGCGCTCAGTATCAGATGTGCATCAACGACTTGTGATTCCCCGATCGAGGGGCGAGATGTGATCTCTATGAGTTGATGTTGGGCCGGTCTGGAGGACTTGAGGTCAGATCTTTGCCTATGGCTTGAGCACCGAGGTATTGATTGTATAAGCAAGTGTTTTGAACTTATATGTTTGGTATTGCCCCTATTGGTATGAATGATGGCTGGATAGATACGTAATGAGTATGTTAGTACTGCGAGGTGTATCTATATGACTCGAAAGTGGCGAGGAAGGTCTACTGGATGATAGACGAACCATTAAGTCGTTGATTTCCATTGTAATTGATGTGTAGCCTCGAGTTATGGGCGCGTGAATAATCTTTTCATGTCTCCTATCTAGAGTGAAGTAAATTTCATGTTACGGTATGAGTTTGGACTCAGGAAGATTAAGTGACTGTGTAATGTGTATGGCAGTGGAAGGTATACAAAATGTTAATTGGAGGCAAAACATGTGGGTTATCTCCTGCGGGATGTTCTAAGGTGGTGTGATCCTTATGTTGTCTATTAGAAGATCTCATTTACAAGTGAAGAATATGCGTTGAAATCTTAATTGTGCTGCCTAGAGAGTGGGCTTATATGTTGTGTGAGTGAATACAAGAATTGTAGAAGAGTTAAAAATTCCAGATGATTTCTGTTTCGACAAGCTTATGAAGGAGCGAGTTCAATCTCACTATGGTATTACAACAACAATAGAGTATGTGTGTTATGATTTATTGAGTGCATTTTGTTATATGGCTTTGATCCAAGTTGGGGAGTTTGCTATTAATTAAGTTGATTGCACGGTTAAGAGCTATATTGTTCCAGTCTGCCACAGAGATGTCTCGGTATTATTCGATACCGGTTCCACCTATTCTTGTGTGTCCTCATATTTTGCTCATTATTTGGGTACGCCCCGAGAGT